AAGTTCTTTTTTTCTACTGATAAATACATCACAACCTGAACTATATCATTTCTTCTCTCCTCCAAATTAACCAACATGCCAGTGTACTGTTCTTAAAGTATCATTCTTAAAGCATTTCATTCTTCATTCCTCTAAAAACAGGCCAGGCGTGGTGGTGCGTGCCTGTGATCCCAGCACTGGGGATGCTGAGGCAGGGGGACCACCGTGGGTTGGGCTGCACAGCAATAAAGAAGAATTGCAATATAACAACCACTGAATTCTTGTTACACTCCCAGCTAGACGTCAGCCCTCTGAGCACAAACCCTCTCATGGCATATCAGAAATGGAGAGAGAGTCCCCATTCCTGCCTATGTAGCAGAACCAATATGGCCCAAATGGCTATACTGTACTTCCAAAACTGACAGACTTTGCGCACTCTCATTCAAATTACCAAGGTCCTCATAGAATTAGAGAAAATCCTAAAATCCACATGGAACCAGAGACCAGAGGGCAAAAGCAGTCCTGGACAACAAGAACAAACAGGAAGCATCACAACCCTGGATTTGAAATTACATTACAAAGCTACAGTGATGCAAGCAGCATGGTACTGCCAACAACAAGAAAAACAAAATCTAGACATGTGGATCAACGGAGCAGAACAGAGGATAAGGGTCAGCTCTCTGATCGTTGACAAAAGGACCCCAAAATGACCAGAACAAAGACAGCCTATTTAACAAATGGTGCTGGGAAAATGGGTCCACACGCAGAAGAATGAATCTACATCTGTATCTCTCACCAAATACTAAATTAAATAAAAAAGGATCAAAGACCTAAATATTGAACTAGAGACACCATCTGCCAGAAGATAAAATAGGTAAAACTCTCGGAGATACTGATGTAACCAAGGACTTTCTGAACCCCACTGCACAAGAGCTATCACCAAGAACTAACAAATGGGATCACATCAAATCAAAAAGCCTCTGCACAGCCAACAGAGTGAGGACAACCTGCAAAACAGGAAAGCATGCCTGCAGTCCCAGCATTTGGGAGGCTGAGGCAGGAGGATCGCTGCATGTTCAGGACCAGCTTGAGCTACCAAGTGATCTCAAGGCTAGCCTGAACTGTATAGCGAGTGAGGCCCTGTCTGTCTGTCTGTCTCTGTCTCTGTCTCTGTCTCTGTCTCTCTCTCTCTCTCTCTCTCACACACACACACACACACACACACACACACACCATTTTGCCATCTGTTCCTCAGGCAAGGAATAATATTTAGACTACAGACATTTTTTGAATAGTATTAAAAAATATCAGATCCCCTCAATAAAAGAGTCAGCCCCAAAATGAGCAACTGAAATGAGTAGATACTTTTCAGGACAAGAAATATAAATGGCCAATAAATACATGAAAAAAGGTCCCCCCACCAAAAAAAAAAAAAAAAAAAAAAAAGTTCCACATCTTTGGCTTTTGGAGAAATGCAAATTAAAACACCAAGAATCTATCCTACTCCAGAAAAATGGCTATCATCATGAAATCAAATAGCAACCAATACTTGGAAGAGTCCAGAACCCTTTAATATTGCTGGCAGGAATGCAAATTACTACAACCACAATGTAAGTCTGTATAGAGATTTCTCAAAAGCTAAAAATAAGGGCCCAGGGAGATAGCTCAGTAGAATAAGCACAAGGTCATGAGTTCAATCCCTGGTACTGCAAAACAACAACAACAACAACAACAACAACAACAACAACAACCACAACACCACCTAAACTATAAATAGAGGGCTGGGGCGATAGCTGGTGGTCTAATCACCTGCATAGCAAGCACAGGAGCCAGGTTCGATCTGTGGTACTGCATGCTGTGCCAGCCACCAGAACTGAGCAGAGTGGCTCACACCTGTAATCTAAGCACTGGGGAAGCTGAGACAGGAGGATCACTATGAGTCCCAGCTATAGCAAGGCCCTATACCAAATAAACAAAACCAAAACCAAAACCAAAACCAAAACCAAAACCAAAGAAGGCAGTGTTAAAAAAAGAAAACCCTAAAACCTGAAAACTGAGATCCCATCTGGCCCAGCTACCCCTTTGGGTGTCTTCCTGAGTTAAGGACATCGTATCGCATTACGGTGACAGACGCACACCCATGTTTATAGCACGGTTAGCACAATTTGGAATACCTAAGTTTTAGAAGCAGCCTATACTCCATCAACAGATGAATGGATAAAGAAAATGTGAGGGGCTGGAGAGATGGCTAGGGGCCGGGGAGAAGGCTCAGTGGAATAAGCGCTTCCCTGGCAAGAGCAAGGGCCTGAGTTCAATCCCTGGCTCCACCAAAAAAGGAAAAAAAAAATCACCCAAATTGTGGTATTCTACACAAGGAATACTACTCTGCCATAAAGAAGGATAAACTTGAGCCATTTGTGGGAAGATGGAGGCAGGTGGAGACCATTATTAGGTCAAGTGCAATAAGCCACACAAGCTTAAATATCGCATGGTTTCTCTTATATGAGAAACCTGGAACATAAATAGAAAGCAAAATAAAAGATAGGTAACAGAAAAAAAAGAGAGGCAGGGCGCAAGAAGGAAGGGGAGGAGATGTAAAAGAATTAAGATGCAGCATGTTTGGTGGCGCACATCTGTAATCCCAGCAGGTGGGAGGCTGAGGCGGGAGGATCAGTATAAATTCAAAGGTACCAGGGCTACAGAGCTGAGCTCAAGCCAGCCTCAACTACACAGTGAGCCTCTGTCTCAAACAATGAAACAAAAAACCTCCCTCCAAAAAATTATGTTATGTTGGGGCTGGGGAGATGGCTCAGTAGGATAAGCGCTTGACTGACAAACGCAAGGATCTGAGTTCAATCCCCGGTTCCACAAAACAAAACAAAACAAAACAAAACAAAAAAACCTGGTCTAGGAAACTCTTTGGGGCTGGTGAGATGGCTCAGCGGTCTAAAGCACCTACTTGGAACAAGCTAAGCAAAACACAGGGACCGCGGTTCAATCCCACAGCACCACATGCCAGCCAGCCCCCTGGTGGGCTGAGCTGGCCACACACACACACACACACACACACAAATAAATAAATAAAATTAAAAAAAAATTATGTTATGTGTATGTATGTACTAACTCTTCACAACAAATATGATCATAATGTACTGAAAACAGGCACTAATTTTAAAATCAACCCTGTACTGGTTCCCAGCTCACTCACAGCAGATGTCAAAGTCCCCTAACAGCCGCCTGGCCAGTAACGCTGAGCTCCTTTCTGCCTCTGCACACTCCTTGGAGTCACACCGACTTTGCCTCAAAAGGAGCAAGCATGGCAGCCTTCCCTGTGACACAGATTTCAGAAATCCCCAAGTTCATGAGTCACTAAGCCAATTACAGGAGGATAAAAGGAATGGCTGGCGATCTCAGTGCAATGCTGAGAAGCATCCACCGAGGTGTAAGGTCCACGGCCAGGAGTAAGGTCACGGCTGTAAGGGCCTTCCTACGTGCGGTGCGGTGTGCTCCCCCCAGGGCTGACTCCACCCAGCCAGCCTCCACCTCACGGAGAGAAAACAGAACCAGCCGGTTGTTGGGAACAGGGGCAACGAGCTATCAGCCGGTGAAAATATTTGTTTGGTAACAGAATGAATACATAAATGCTTAGTTTACCACACTGTTTCAAAAACAAAGCAAGAAAAGAACAAAAACAAAGCTTTTGTAAATAAGGAGGGGAAGAAGGGTTGAAGGGAGGATAAGAGACTAGGAAGGAAGTCATGTACAGGGACATCCCTGTGATAAAGGGATTAACGTGTATACTGGAGACGCACCAGTGAACTAAATTAAAATCAAAACAAAAAGAAACAGAGCAAAAAGCACATCAGTTCCCTCACCAAGGAGACTCTTCCAGCCTGGTGTGACTCGCCTGTAACCCCAGTGTATTTGAGGCCGAAGATGCCAAATTGGAGCCCAGCCTTCTGGGCCACTGACAAAGGCCCTGTCTTGAAATTTTAAAAAATAAGTTTAAAAATGACTGGAGATATAGTTCAGTGCTAAGGCCCTGGGTTCAATTCCTGCCATAGGAAAAAAATACTTTTTGGTCATGAAAAACACTACAGACAGCTGGGCATGGGGTGCCCACACCTGTAATCCTAGTACTTGTGAGGCTGAGGCAGGAAAGTTGTTTTCAGTTTGAGGCCAGATTGGGCTACAAAGTGAGCTTAAGGCCAGCCTGAACTGCTTAGTGAGATGCTGTTTCAAAAAGAAAAAGAAAAACATTGCGGATGAACTAAACAGTGCATTTACTAGTCAATGTAACTATAAATGCCTTACAGCCTATAATAAACTGCTACTCTACTACAGACCAATGATTACTATTTCATAAATTGGCAAAGTTTCACAAATCAAACTTTCGAAAGCACTGTCCTAAATCACCTCCTTGGTCACTTGCTATCTGATGGTGCTGGGGATCAAACTCAGGGCCTTGGACATGGTAGGAAAGCCTTGTACATGTTCAACAGAGTTACAGCTGTGTATATTGTCCCTTTCATATCATCCCTTTCATCACAGGGACGTCCAGCCCACTACTTTCATCTTAAATTCAAGTCCACCTAATAGAGCTTTTTGTTTTGATTTGAATTTAGTTCACTGGTGCGTCTCCAATATACATGATGATCCCTTTCGTCCCAGGGACGTCCCTGTACATGACTTTCTTCCCAGTCTCTTATTCTCCCTTCAATCCTTTTAAATACCAGCTCCACGCAGTGTCAGTTTCTGTGCCTTCTCCCTTCTGCAGTTCACAGGAATTAACACATACCTTGTTCTCTGCATACACTCAGTCTCCTTCCTTATAGCACGGAATTTTGTTGTTGAGGAGAAGGCTATAACACCCAGCAATGCCTACATCCTTGTAAACATTTTCAACTAACAATTTAAACTATAATATCACTTCAGAAAGGTGAGACAGGGTAATGTGTCAGCTTTGAAAACTTTTGTTCATTTTGAAAGAAGTATAAAATCATCCACTCTTCAACACTGACCTAAGTATTCCATCAGCTGCTCGGCAGTTATGATTTCCATCATTGGTGGAAGTTTTACCTGAAAAAGAAATATTATGTCTATAACATCCAATGTTTCAGATGACTCAAGTATTTCTTAAGTTAGAACCCTAATATTTATGTATGTTTATATAGCTCTATCATATGTATTTGCTACATACACACTAACACTTCCTATCAGCGTAAGCATATCAGGATGATGCACGATACAGAGACACTGAGAAATCCGGTTTCAAAGCCAAGCACCGTATCTATCTCCACCCACTGCAACTGTCTTTGGCAGCTCCAACAGAGCATGGCAGACCATTTGGTTAAAGTGCAGGGACAGGTAGCAAACACAGCAGATGTCCCATTATTTCAGTCCACTCTGGCCATTTAATGAATATAGTAGTAAAATTCTATTATGCAATGAAGGATTCATCTCTCATTCTATTTTTAATGTAAATTTTTTTTTCTTTTTTTTTTTTTTGTAAATTTTTTTTCACGGTACTGGGGATTGAACTCAGACAAATGCTTATTCTACTAAGCTATCTCCCCGGCCCTATAATGTAAAGTTTAAAAATGGGTGCCTGGCATATGTTGTATGCCTGTAATCTCAGCTATCTGGGAGGCTGAGGCAGAAAATCACAAGATTGAGGCCATCCTGGCAACTTAGCTGGGACCCAGCTCAGTGTGTTCAGTCCTGGGTTCAGTCCTCAATAGCACAAACGCATGTGCAAAAATGCACGTACATCCAAGATTCCTGGCAAAATTAAACTACTAGATACTGTTTAGAACTACACATTTAGGTTAAAAAAATTATAT